GAAAGGAAGAATAGGCACATCTTGGAGGTGGCTAGAAGTCTTATGTTTACCTCCAATGTCCCTATTCGCTTCTGGGGTGATGCTATCCTCACGGCGGTATATCTTTTTAATCGGATTCCTTCCCGGGTTCTTGATATGAGATCTCCTTTTTCCCTTCTATACCCACATGAGGAGTTGTTTTCTATTCCCCTTAAAACATTCGGTTGTACCTGCTTTGTTCAGCTTCAGGGACCCCATCACTCCAAATTCGAACCCAAGGCCTCCAAATGCATTTTTCTTGGTTTTGCACAAATTCAAAAGGGTTATTGCTGCTATGATCCTGTCTCAGGGAGGAGGTTTGTCTCCATGGATGTCACTTTCTTTGAGGAGACACCCTATTGTCCTCGGGTTTCTCCTCAGGGGGAGAGCAGTGAGAGTAGGGGTTTGAGTCCTTGTCTTCAGGGGGAGAGCAGTGAGAGGTGGGTAGTTCCTTTACCTATTCCATTGGGTGATGAGAGCTGCAATGGTGAGGGCGGTCAAAGGGATCAGGAGTTGAGGGGGAGCTGCAATGGTGAGGGTGGTCAAAGGGATCAGGAGTTGAGGGTCTATCACAGGCGGTGCAGGCAGGTTGATCCCGATCATCAGCAGTCCAGGCCAGCTCCAATCTCATCTGCACTCCAGGTCCAGGTATTACAATCCCAGGGCCCACAGAGACTTCCTATATTGTTGCCATTTTACCTCCTATAGATGACCTTGACCTTCCGATTGCAGTCCGTAAAGGGAAACGACATTGTACCACATCTACAGCCCACCGTATTTCCCGTTTTTTATCCTATGATCGCCTATCTCCTACCTACAGGTCCTACCTTAGTTCCATTTCCGATGTCCCTATTCCAAGAACAGTGCAAGAGGCCCTATCTGTCCCGGAATGGAAAGATGCAATGCAGGTTGAGATGGATGCCCTGTTGAAAAATAACAACTGGGAGGTAGTTGATATGCCCAAAGGAAAGAAACCARTTGGATGCAGATGGGTATTTACTGTGAAGCATAATGCAGACGGATCCATTGAGAGGTATAAAGCTCGGTTAGTTGCAAGAGGGTTTATACAGACTTATGGCATTGATTATTTGGAGACCTTTGCCCCGGTAGCCAAGATGACCACCATTCGAGTCCTATTATCCCCTAAAGCAAGCTACACTTGGCCTTTGTACCAAATGGATGTTAAAAATGCCTTCCTGAATGGGGACTTGCAAGAAGAGGTTTACATGCAGTTGCCTCCTGGATTCTATAATACAGAGGCAGGTAAGAAGGTTTGTCGGCTCAATAAGGCATTGTATGGATTGAAGCAGTCACCTAGAGCTTGGTTCGACAAATTCAGACTAGCCCTTGGGAAGTTCGGTTATGTAYAGGCCCAGTCAGATCATACATTGTTCATCAAGAGGGTGGAGTCCTCACTGACACTACTTGCAGTATATGTTGATGATATTGTGGTGACAGGAAATGACAGCCATGAGATTGAGTCCCTCAAACAGCTCCTTCATCAAGAGTTTGAGGTGAAATATCTGGGTACACTTCGGTATTTTTTGGGTATTGAGGTTGCTAGATCTAAACAGGGGATCTTTGTCTCTCAGAGGAAATATGTTCTAGATCTGTTGGCTGAAACTGGAAAGCTGGGTGTCAAACCTGCAGATACACCCATTGAACAAACCACAGGATTAGTGCAGAGAGTGGGGAGCTGCTTGAAGACAAAGTTATGTTCCAGCAGTTAGTGGGAAAGTTCCTATATCTATGTCTCACTCGGCCAAATATCAGTTATGTAATTAGTGTTGTCAGTCAGTACATGCATTCTCCTAGAACCACGCACCTTCTAGCAGCAGAAAGAATACTAGCATACTTGAAGAGATGCCCGGGAAGAGGTATACTGTTCAAGAACAATGACCACATGAAGGTGGAAGTCTATACGGATGCCGATTGGG